GAAAAAATATTTGGAAGTGTCGAAATGGTCGACAGCAGTAGAAAGGTTACCTTGGCAAGGGAGTAAGAATCCCTGACGAGGTCTGAGGCAGGAATAGGGATAGAGAACTTTGTTATGGTTGGTAAGGACCAGAGTCAGATTAGGATTTTCGTAGGGACGAGAATGCGATAGGCAAATCGAACCCATTCCAGGAGTGAGAGGGGAATTGGAAGAAGAGATAAGTAGCAATAGCATTATTATACACACACATACAGTTCGGAAACACAAATACACACCAAAGTGTTGGTATCAGGACATAAAAAGTTGTACAAACAGCAACCAAAGCATTTGTACACTCAGTTAGTTCCAGAACATTTGCTTGCTACAAACCTGCTATATCTTAACTAGGAGTGATCTGCCTCCATCTGGTTCAGTTTGAAGGTGCCTTCATTGTTCTTATGCACTTCAACTTTAAACTTCTCTTCTTTGTCTCCCCTCTTCAACTTCAGAAGCATGTTGAACTTGGCATGCTCTTCTATCACCTGCTCTCTCACACAGACAGTTCAGACATATGCAAATCAGTACAAAACCATTGATCTCAAAACAGAAACAAATGAAGAAAAGAAGAAATTAGAAGATTCCTGTGCACTATACAGAACAATTTGAGTTCAAATGCACATTTAAAAACAACAAAATGCATTTCAATCTTCTGAACCATCTAAAGACTACCCCAATACCAATTCAATTCAACCAAATATTACCAACCCTCCAATACCCAATTCTCCTTGCCACCCAATTGAAAACCACCAAATTTTACCCTCCAAACCCCAATTCTCCAAAATGCATTTTAAATTGATTTTCAACACCCAATTCAACACAACCAAACACTACCCCGAAACCCAATACGAAGTGAAAAAGCACAAAAAATCGAAAAGGCACAAACCTCAGCCTTAGCGTGAACAACTTCTTGAAGCTCATAAGGAAACAGAGAATTAGACCTTTGCTGGAGGCTCTTAACAGCATGATTTGCAGCATCTTGAACCTGAGGATCGTGTGGCGGCACAGATTGCCACCCGGAGCCATGCCCACCTTCCTTAACACCAAGATCTGAAGGGGTAAACGACGGCGTTTCATTACAGTCACCAGCGTGCTTGAACTCCTGCACTTCCTTAAAACCCATCCATGGCTTCACCCAGACTTTAGCTTCGTAAAGCTTCTTCTTTCCGGCATCGATTGCCTCGATCGTCAGATGGTGTAGAGTGCCAGCAACCACTTGCTCCTTCGCCTTTACCACCCTCACAAACTCAAGCAGAGCATTCTGCAAAATTTTCAATTAATCGAAATTCCAGCATAATATTGAAGAAATTAAAAGGCAAAAAAGAGTAAAGACCTCCTTATTGTTGTGATCTTGGACGGCGAAGCGAGCGAGGTCTTCGGTTTCGAGGCTGTTCTGGGAGGCATGGGATTCGTGGACTCCGCCGAGAGTGGCCATGTTTTGGAAATGGGAGGGATTGGATTCTTCTGCGAAGGATGAGAATGTGAGGAAAGGTAAGAAGACGAAGAGGATAAGTTGCATAAACAGACACAAGGAGGAGGAAGAAGAAGAAGATTTCGATTTCAATTTCATCTGCTTTTGTTTTGTGTTTGGGTTTCGGACAATTTGTAAGACAGATGGGAATTTATCTCTTTCGCTGCTCGGAGTCTTTTTGTATACGTGTCATACACGTGTCGCTTTGAGTATCTATCTTTGCTTAGTCGGTAAGCTTTAGTTTTCCTTTTTCTATTTTTCTTTTCCTTTAATTCAAGCGTATTCTGTAAGCAAACAAACACAAAAAAAAAAAAACCCAAACCAACGGAAAAAAAACTTATGACATGTTTTGGGTCTCTTTGGTATCTTATTTGGATTCAATTTTACTAGTCTCTTCGCACGCGCTTTTGCGCCTGCTAGAGGCTTTTTTTATAATAAAATTTATATTTATTTTAGAATTAAAAAAGATAATGGGTAGTTGTGTTTCATAAATATAGGATCCATTATCTGATTTTTTTTTAATTTTAATTTTTTTAATATGAAAAAGTGTGAATTTACCATATTATCCTCATTTAATTAATAATTTCAATTCTTAATGTTTGTATTAATCAAGGGCATTTTCTGGTATTTTGAATGTTTCACCATCCTTTTGCTTTTTATATATAGATAGATAAATTATAAATTTTAAGTCTAAACCATAAAAATTCATATGTTAGGCCCATTTTTAAAAACTCAAAAACACCCCATTATTAAAAACAAAAAAATATATTTAATTTTGTAGTTTTTTTTCTCTCTCCTCCCTCTCTCATCTCTCTCTTTGCCCTCCCCCGTCTCTCCATCACTCTCCTCCATCTCCCGTCTCTCTCTCTCTCTCTGAGCATGTCTAAATTTTTTTTATGGGGTGCATTGAGCATGTCTAAAATTTTTAAAAAGAAAAAAGAAGAAGAAGGTGGATTCAGTTTGGGTGGGTTGAGAGAATTTGTGTGTGCAAGGTAGGTGTGCCATAGCATAGAGAGGAGGAAGGGGGAATGGAGGAAGGGGCTATGGAGAGGGAAGGGGGAATGGAGGAAGGGGCTGTGGAGAGGGAAGCGGGAATGGATTTCAAGGTGGGCAAGGTTGGTTGGAGCTACCAATGGCACACAGGATGGGGGAAGGTGATTTATTTATTTATTTTCAATTTTAATTGTTTAAAAGATATACAATTTTTGTTATAATGAACTTTCCATGTTTAAAATACCCTTGAAAATAGAAAGACTAAAATACCATTAAAATATATGGAAAATTGGATAGGTTAAAGTCATAAAACAAATCATGGATTTTGAAAAATTAAGTGACATTTCTCTTAAATTTTTCTTTAAGGTGACAAATTGAAACTAAGTTATAAATTCAAGTAACATTTCTACAAATTGAACTAAGGTATGATTAGCATTTGTCTTAAAATTGTTGAGCGTTAGCAAGCAAAACATACATTCACTCATGGAAATAAGAAAGAGAAGGTTTAAAATAAAATCAGTGTCAATTTATTTCCATGCACAACTACTTTAATTTTTAAGTGCAAATAAAATGCGAGTGCATGTTTATTTACTTGTTAACGCTCAAAAATGTTAAGAGATGTTATGAAAAGTTGTGCATGTAGCATTCTACTTTTAATATCCCAACTCCAAAGTGTCTTCTAATTTGCTTAAGTGGAGGCATAATATTGTGATTGTTGTTCACCCATTTTGATTTGTTTCCTGTGATGGTAGGGCAAAGTTCCCCATTGCCTTGAGAACCATTGACTGGTCAACAAGTCAACTTTCTTTAGTGTGCGAGCGTGCCACTGCTAGTAATGAAAAATCTCAGCAGACTTCTTTAAAAATAGATAACTTGCGCCCCAAGTTACTGATTTTTGAACAAGCGATTGTGAATTGGGGTGAGGAATATCTCCCAAGTAAGTTCTTTTCTTGCCTCAGACTGGTTGAGGACTTTACAATTTTTCATAGTACAAAACTGGTAGTTCCGGCCAGAATAAATGATAAGAGAGTGATCTGTTTTCAGGTAGAACTCTTCTTTACAAAGCTCAAAAGGGAAAAACTGACTATGAAAAGACAAAAAGAGGGTTGTGCTTCCATTTCTGTCTAGGTAGATGCTTCTGATTCGGGCTGGATTGGGTATGCTTGTGCTGGACTGGACTTTCAACAACTTCAACTGCTAAGCTTCAGCTGCAAATCGATACCAAAGCTTAAGTTTGGCAGAGCTTTAATCTATTTGAAGCCCTGGAAGGCTTTTTAACGGGCAGAACTGCGACCTCTTCAGTCTGGAAGGGGCAGGAGTGGCTGG